TCAGCAACAGTGCAGGAACACAAGCTATGCAAAGCTTTTTACTGACATTTAAAATCATTTAACAGTATTTTACCAAAAAAAAGCATTTGGAAAAAATGTGTCATACTTACTTTAAAAAAATGTGAAAATCTGTCCAGTAACATCTGCTGTTTTGTGCAAGTAACTTGATTTTCTGACCTGTTCCGACCGTGTTGGGAAATGTCTCAGCTTAGTTTGAAGTTTTAACAGTAGTGAGAGGATTTATAGGCAAAACTGCACCAACACACTAAGATGGTTAAAGATGTTTGAGTCTGAAGGTGTTTGCTTTGTGTCAAAGAGCCACTATATCACACGTAATTTCACTTCAAATTGTAAATTCCTTGGGACCACAAACACCATTTCAATTTCACAAACCACTGCACCTGGTGCAAAAGTGTAAACAAACATTTTTGAAGGAGGTAAATGAAACAGAACAGACTGGGCGGAGAATGGTCCGTAGCTTCATTCATTCCAGGATACAAACCAGCCGCAGCATAAAGGGTCCTCTTACCGCACTGAAGTCAGCCATTAGGAAGGCTAATTGAATTGAGACAAATGACTTCCAGTGGACACTAATTTCAACCGGGCCTTTTGCTGCTCATTTACAGTCGCATTGGCCGTCTGAACTTATCTGCTGGAGCTATAATCACAAAATAGTTTTTGATCTGTGTGTGTTCTAGGTCACGACTCGCTGACTTCTTTGTCAACTGCCAGCCGGAGCCCCGCTCGCTGTCAGGCTGCCTGAAGGAGAACTATGCAGACTGCCTCCTCGCGTACTCGGGTCTGATTGGTGAGTTCGCTCGATTGTGACCGGTTGGTTTGACTCGGCATTGACTGCAGTTTCTCAGATCTTCAAATACGAGAATTTGCTTAAGACATTGTTAAACAACAACACAGCTTTGACATGAAGAACCGAGCTGTCATTTTTTGTAGCTATCTCACTCACAACGTGGACCGATCCCACTCTCAGTTTCTTCCCGACAACAGTTACTGCAACACTCGAGATTTGGTCCTCTCAAGTCGCCAAACCTGACCACGCATACACACACTGTCCACACAGCGCCAATTCATTCTGCCTACTGCAAAACAAAATGGCCTGTTCTGGACTGCAGCCAGCACAAGGGAACAATCCATTGGGGGAGTGAGAAATCACTGACTGAAGCTATTTACTTTCCCTCGCAGAGAGAGAGCCTATTCTTCACTCCACCTTCTCTGCATTCTGCTTCCTGGAGAAACTCCACCAGACTGCGTTTCTCTCGTAGAAAATAAAAATCACTGCTAAACATTTATCATCAACACAGCACGATGATGATACCTGATATTTTGAAGGCTTTAAATTTTTTTTAATCGGTAGTTAGCAGCTCATTCAGGGTTGAACAGTTTACAATAAAGTCTTGTTTATGGATCACATTTGTTACTGAAAATAATCAGTGAATCATTCGATCATCTTTCTTCAGGTACTGTCATGACTCCCAACTACCTGCGCTCACCCAAAATCAGTGTCTCTCCCTACTGCGACTGCAGCAACAGCGGCAACAATAAGGACGAGTGTGACAAATTCACTGAGTTCTTCACAGAGAACACCTGCCTACGTAAGTTTTCCTCTTGTGCTGCTCTACTTTGACCAGCTGTTATCTGTTCAATTTTATTTTTTGACTGTGGCTTAGTCTTAGCAGCTCTTCTGAGTTCTGTGTCTGTCTGTTTTCACCTACTCTGCTCTGCTGGTCATATTCTTGTTGTGCACTTTTATCCCTTCCTTTCTTTCCAGTATCTCCTTCTTACCAAATATATCCCATTGCCATGCTTGCATTGTTATCCAGCAGCATAACAGGAAAAAAAGCCAGTCATATTGCACCAGAGTGTCTCAATGTGTAGCAGAACTCCTGCTCCAGATCTTTGACAGAAAGAGGCTTTTCCATCTAAACCCTCTTACGCAATGACTTTAATTAACAAACCTACTTGAAGTCACACATCCGCACACACATGCACACACACAGAGTCGTGTTTTCATATCGTAGTGGGGACATTTAATTGACAAAATGATTTCCCTAGCTGCTGACCCTAACCCTAAGCATCGAAAATGAATGCCTAACACTAACCCTTAGCATCAATGGAACCATAGCCTAATTGTAACCTTGACACTAAAACCACTTTTTGAGTCTTAAAAATGTCTTCAAACTCATGAAGACAGACGCACGCACACACACACTCCTCGTGCCTATGGTACGACAACTTTTCTCCGTGCCCCTGGTACACTGCGTAGAAGCACTTTGCCACTCACTCACTCTCTCTCTATCTCTATCTCTCTATCTATCTATCTATCTATCTCTCTCTCTATCTATCTCTCTCTATCTATCTCTCTCTATCTATCTCTCTCTATCTATCTCTCTCTATCTCTCTCTATCTCTATCTCTCTCTATCTCTATCTCTCTCTATCTCTCTATCTCTCTCTCTATCTATATCTCTATCTATCTCTCTCTATCTATATCTCTCTATCTATCTATATCTCTCTATCTCTATATATATATCTATCTCTCTCTATCTCTATCTCTCTCTCTATCTATATCTCTATCTCTCTCTCTATCTATATCTCTCTATCTCTATATATATATCTATCTCTCTCTATATATATATCTATCTCTCTCTATCTCTCTCTATCTCTCTCTCTCTATCTCTCTCTATCTCTCTCTATCTCTCTATCTCTATCTCTCTCTATCTCTCTATCTCTATCTCTCTCTCTATCTATATCTCTATCTCTCTCTCTATCTATCTCTCTCTATCTATATCTCTCTATCTATCTATATCTCTCTATCTCTATATATATAT